AAGAATTCATGGCTCATTGAACAACAATTCTTATTAAGCATTAGTTTAATAAATTGTGTAGCTTTCATTACAGACTGCCTCGTTGGCCGAGGGTCGCTAGTGTGATGCTGGGCAAGAGGTCTCGGGTTTGATTCCCGGGTTGGACAAAGTATTACGGAGATTTAAAAAAATAGTTAGCATTTAGCATATTTCTGTAAAGGTTTTCTTTTACTAGGTACTTATACTTGTTACTGAGGTCAAAAAAAGGAGGATTTATTTTGTTCGGATGTTTGTGTGTTTTAAGATGGGTGGGTACGCTGAATTTGGTTATTTTGTGGCGATTACTAACCCACTAAAGTAACATTATATATACATATATTTGATTATGGATTTCATACGAAAAGAATGTCCTTCATTTACTCAAGAACATTTTGAAGTTTATTTTTGAATCTAGTAACATTATGACACAGTTATTATTTGTTAGTAAACGTAATGTGGGTCGCGGAGTAACATCACGGATGGAGGAGCGCGCGTGTAACGTAAATGGCGCAGAATTAATGGAATTATATCTTGCAACATGTTTCGTCTTGTTTGTTTGTCTCGCAGGATGTAATGCAACTATTGTTTGTTTACTAAACAACATTCTAGTGACGCTAAGGTCAATGTTTGGCAACATGTGAGTGTTTTAGATTAAGAAACACGTCAAAACTGTAATTTAAATAAGTTGATTTAATTTTGTTATTTGTGACTATGACACTGGTAATCATTTCAGGCATATTTATGTAGATATTGAGAAATAATATGATTGTCAGGTATAATTTAACTTGTTTAATGTAAAGGTCTATTATAATTAAAAATCGCGGGTTTCTCTCGTAAAAATACCGAGAAAAGCAACTAGTTTCGAACCACAGAGGGGTTCTTCGTTGTTATAAAACAGCACTTTGTACTCCGGCGCAGCAGACATGTAATATAGACGACATACACAATACGACAGACGTCTAATTATATGAAATCATCATGTATACCAAATAGAGTTATATGAGCTAAAACACATATACAATAACGATACCAGATACTTAAAAGCTCACCAGTCATTATACTGAAACAAAGCTCTTACTTATATAACAGCTATATATGTAGGTACTTGAAAAAGCTGATCAGCGCCTGCGTCGCTTCTCAATGACAAGCTTGCGCGGGCACACGTTATAAATCACAGTATTCACACGATAATTATGCATGCGCCCGAGTCGCCGGATCGCGATCGTGGCTGTAATACACACCGTACAGTGGAGGTTGATTCTATTAATGATTTTTTTTGATACTTATATGAGTATTGCGTAATTCGTATATGAGTAATTCCTTTGCTAGGGTTTTGTTAGATTTTCGGGACTAAAAATTTTATTTTAAGCTTTTGGATCCAGAAAATTATATAACATAACACATATGTACATAACATCACGCCTTTTATCCCCGAAGCGGTAGGCACAATGTAGTACAATGTAACACCCACTTTGCACTATTTTTGTTCCATCCCGTAGCCATGAAATAGCGGGTGAACATATTGCCATATACCGAGCACAATTGCAGGCTCCGTGTAACTAGTGAGATTATATAATTTTTAAAAAACCCTGTAATACTTTGCCCGGCCCGGGAATCGAACCCAACACTCCTTGCTCCGCAGTCGTACTTGTGTCCATTCGGCCAACGAGGAAGACAGGCAGGCAGAACATTATTATCTGTTCAAATATTGACGATCAATGGAGTATGTAAAACTTATACATTTAACGAATACGACGTCACAGGTTAGTATTTCAGTACAACAATTAATTACTTATTTATTACATTTTCATCTTTTCACAAAACCACATAACTTTGCTTTAGGTACAGTTGCCTAATATTTACCTACAATTATGTTTGTTTGTCTAGTGTTACACAAAGAACTTGGATCATGTTACATGTCGGTGTATACAGCAGCCCAGTAAGTGGGTAATTAGAGTTATCTTAATAATAAGTGTCGGTAATACAGAGTTACAGTAACGTGTGCCGGTGTGTGTAACGAGAGGTTAACTGTCGCTGTTATTGTAACTACGAAGTTTAATCGTTCAGTTATTGTCGCGTTTTGTTCACTAATGCAATTAAGTTGGGGGTGGAGGGGACTTTTAATATTATATTTAGGAATTGAAGTTAGATCCAATAGTGTAAACAGCAACATAAAACGAAATCCCAGTAATACTTTGCCCGACCCGAGACCACAATCGAGAAATTGCAATCTGCCAATGAGGCAATCAAGAGCATCTATCTACCCGGCCCTTTACGAACAATAGCGAAATATAAGTACATACTAGTTATATCATAATCGAATATTGACGCCCTCGATTATGCAAAAAAACACCATTGTATTTAAAAGGTCACTATCGTACTACGCTAATTACGAATCCACGAGCTCATGTTTGAGGAGCTGGCCCCTTAACCTCCGGGCTATCACGACACTTGACATAACAGTTTTGTAACTACATTGGTATTATTACATTTGAACAACACATGTTATATAACCACACTGTGGCACTAGACGCCATTATAAGTGAGAAAAGTTTATAACTAGCGAACAAAAGCTGGCTATTACCATGCGTGCGCGCATGAGGGACAGGGCTGGCGATTTGATTAAGGACTGGCACCGGACGTGAAATTGGAAATAGCAAATATGAGAGTTCATTATTATAAATTTCGTGAGAATACTAAATGTTTATGATAGTGTGTAAAGCGGTGGTCTTCAATATGCAGTTTTATAAAATTATGTATAATGTATGCAATCATCACACTAGGTCAGACAAATAAACATACTACTAAAATGTGTCATAGAGCTTATAAACGTAATTATATTGTTTAAGTAAATTAAACTTAATTTAAAACACTAGACAGCCCTAAGTTTCTCCGCATGACGTAAACTGCGGAAGAGGTACAACCTTGACCTTATTGACACTTTCTATGCGCGTGCGCAGCCTGCTTACGTCACGTCAATCCACGGAAACACGAACTCACATGCACACATCTAATACACTCATTACATTATAATTTGCATTTTTATAACATCAATTGCATTTGTTTCTGTGTTAATTGCCTGCACATGTATTAACTTACAAAGAAATAGAAAATTAACTTTTTAATACATCCTACATAATATTATTAGATAGGTACGGATACTTTTTGGGACAAAATTCAAGAAGCAAGGTTTTAATTTGAAGAGGGTCGTAGCGTAGTTAATTAAATTTACACTTGTAATGACAATTAATGAGAAGGTCGCTCCTGGCAACGCGCGTTTAAAATAAAATAAAAAGGAAGACTAAAGGATTAATGTTCGTATTGTAGTGGTGCAGGGTTGCACGGAGAACAAAGATGAATGACTTGTGTTACCGTGTCTCGTGCCGGCAAGTGACGTGATGCAATATTCTGCGGTCGCAGCAGGGTTGGATTATCTTGAGTTAGATATTCGATAATAAAATTATATTTATTTTCAGAAATCGAGGAAACGGTTTGTCGAGTTTAAAAAGCACTGAGAATTTAAAGAATATTTTGTGTATGGCTACATTTTTTTCATTTTTATTTTCTAACGTAAGTGGTACTTATTTTCTATACTAGATTTGTTTTCATACTGCAATAATTATCCTTATAAATGTCTTCATGAACTCTGCATCTGTTCTTCTAACTTACATAGCAGAGACAACCCTAAAGTGCGGTGGCGCTGCACGCCGCAGATTGTGACGTAACTCGTTCCGTAGCGCCGCAGTCAGATGACGCCCTTATGTCTATGATTCACTCGATTTGTAGCAAATACAGTTACAATATCTAAAACTTGTTTAGTTTCTTTTTACGGTATACATATCGTGAAAGACTCCTGTTTCTCGTTTGTCTATTCATTTTAGCCTAAAATTCTGTTGTCTTAACCTAAAACATCTAAACGATACTAATTTAACCCTATTTTAAACACTAGTGTATTGATTTATACACAGTGATCGTATACACAGTGAATGAAACAGAAAGTACTGTGTCAGCCCGCATTCAGTGCGTTGATGATATCGCGTATCACTATGTTGTAACAGGTGAATAACTTATTCATTGAGTCCCATCGAATTGTTCCTGTGTTAGTAACCCATTAGTGTAATAATTGGTAATAATTATCGTTTTTATAATTATTATAGACTTACAGCGTCAGAGACAGTCCACTATGTATTACAATACTATTACACAGTAGCAGGAGATTGCAATTTAAAAGAATCAAGTTTATTAGAGAGCGCTGTAAATTGTAGGTAAATTATGTATAGAATTCTTAAAAATATATATAGTATTTTTATGTATTAACATAATATTGACATATTCTTATTCGCAAATATTTATGATATGCGGAACATTGACACACTTAATTTTAATATTGAGATATTATTCAATATTATTTAATATGATATAATACTATTTATGATGATGTTTTCAATTCCTATAATTATGGAATGAAATGAAATATGCTTTAAACTATTAGATTCATTACTTTTACTTTTTGTTATAAACAAAAGGTAAGAAGCTCTAAACATTTTTACATTTGACCATTAGACGACTGTAATGTTTAGAAATTGCCTGAAATAGTCTACTAACTGTGACTGAGTGTGACTGTAACTGGAGTTCTGTATCTGACCCATGTATCAGTTAGTCTTGATTGTAAAATATTGTCACTGCGCTGCGACACAAAACTTTGAACTTGTGTTAAAACTTCGCGTTGTACGACCACGGTGCGGTGGAATTGAATCAGCTGGTGCTAACGGAGTTTACACTTGTAAATTATTATATCAACAGAACTTTTTTATTTAACTTGCAGAGTTTCAGAATAATTTTATTGTTTTTGCAAAATTAGGTTGAAAAGAACACAGAAGGTAAAAAATAATAATCAAAGATCCATAAATCTATAAAATTCATGTTGGCTTTTATTGTTTTTACTACGAACTGTATAAGGATTATTATAAGTGATGACTTACCGCTAACTTAATGTGGACCATCTTGGGGGCGACGGTGACAGTCTGCAAGAGAACATAAAATAACTTAAATCATATAACAACACAAGTTATAGAGCATACTAACAAACACATACACTAAACATACATACGAAATATAGAACATAAGTTATAGAGAACATACATAAATGAACACACTTATTATACCTATGTATAATAAATTACAGAGCTTTTACATATGGAACTAAGTACGTCGTGTTAATTAGAGCGCTCGGGAGCGAGCACTAAGCACAGAGGTAGCATTTACTTAACCCTAACTTAATACGCACTTAGCACTGTTACACGTTATATTAAAGCTTTTGAAATAAATTCAACTCCTACTTTATTTTAAGTTGTGGAGTAAATTCGCTTTATTTTATATTATGAGTGAATTGTTTTGTTGAAAATTATTGTAAAGGATGGTTTTTGTTGCCTTTTTATTTTAGGATTAAGTTACATGGATCAAATATATGTGTAGAATGATGCATGATTAGATGCAGTGGTTTACATTTCTTATCTATACATTTCAAATATGTATAAGTAAGACTTGCAGGTCATCATCTGCCAGTTAATCTGCATGTTAATTATAACAGAAGGGTTTAATTATATAAGAGCTTAAAAATGTTGTTTTAATTTGCCATAGAAATACATGGCTATGAAAAAAAAGCCTTGCAGATATAGATTATGCAGAATTGGGTTGAAAATTTTGCAGAAGTTTTCGTTGTATAACGTGTTATCTTTCATAAATAATTTGAAACCAAACGATTGTAGGCTTTATATTAAATTATATTAACTGTCCTTTAGGAAAATCTGGGACAATTTTCCTTGTCCCTTACACTGGTATTATCGTTTAAGGAAAATAATTTTCTTATTTTATGATCAAATCTCTGCTTCTTCAAATGGGGAGATCTTCAAAATTTTTGATTTTGTGAAAAGCTTCAACAATATTTGTGATTGTACTTATAGATTGTATTAAAACAAATGGTGTTTGTTTGTATGTCATTCATTGCATCGTACTCATTATTTTCTTCTTATTTACTTAAATTATACCTACATATCGAAGTTGGAATTTAATGAAATCTTATAATTTTTAGTTCTAGTAGATTCAGTGGTTTATTTATATTGTAAACTTGTATTGTTTACTTCATAGTATCTTTGTATTGCGAAGGGCTGCTTACCCGTGAACAATAAGAATTATTACAGTTGACGATTTATTATGGCTTGTTTACAGAGATGCTTAGAGCCGATTTTTCAATCATCAATTAATTCTTAACTGCAGAATAAAATTGACATTTGACGGTTATAAGTATGGAAGAATCGTCATATATTCAATTATACATTCTTCTGATTTTTCAATGCTTACTAAAATTTTATCGAGTGATATGTTTTGGAAATAATGCAAATATTTTTCGGGGAATTTTCTACAAAATTATTACAAATTAGAGGTTACATTTTTTGAACATAATATTTAATAATGCCAGATAATTTGTTTTAATGTAATTTGCGGTAACCGTCTGTGCGCCGGCGCAGGCACAAGATGTCGCAACTTTTAATAGTTATAATTGTACACAAATTACTAAGTAAGCTACTGTTTTAAATATTACGGGGGAGTGAAGTCACGACTTGGAAATAATTAAATATTTTGTGAAGTTATTTTTGTAATTTTCATACAAATACATAAAATGATTATGTACTCAGTTTGGTTTTAGAATTACATTGGAAAATGTTATAATAATATTTATCACTATTCAAATTGGATTTTGGGAAACCGGAAACTGATAATCTGTTATTATTTATTTATATGAATTAAATAACACTTTTGAACTTATACTTTAAATTATATTTTATGTATTGAATTGTAAGCTTTAATCAAACTTTTACATTTATTTCAATAACTATTAAAACAACCTGAAGCCACACTCAATACCTAATTTATTATAAACAATATCACACACCACAAACTTACCAAAAGTTCACAGAATCCGAAAAGCACAAGAAAACGTCAACTGATATAATTCACAAACTTCGTAAAATAATCGGCAAAGTTCGGAGCAAGTCGTCCACGTGACGTGCGCACGCGACGATGCTGTGTTGCGGGCTGCGTGTGCGCATCTTTGCTTTATACGCAGCCCCCACCCCCCCTACTGGTAGTGGCGAGGATATGTAATGCCACTAAATATGCTCTAATAATTGGCCTAATGATAGCTCTGATGATGGGAGCCATCGCTTCAAGGGAAGTGAAAGGTCAGTCAGGTAGGCTCTGCTGGATGTCCGCGGTATATGCAGGTCGGATACCGACGTAACGGGGTTGAAATTAAAAGTTCCTATCCAATCTGGCGGTGAAAACAAGTTGATAGATTTTCCTATCGGGTTATCGATGCTCCGGTTCAGCAGGGGTAGGAACGGCGTGGTTTTAGTCAGTAAAAGTCACATACACTCTCTCGCTTCACTAGAGACGGGAGAAGTCATTGGATGATTTTCTCCCCTCAAAAAAAAGATGATTAATATTTAAAATAAATTAAAATACTGGAAAGTTTTTCATTTTATATACTTTCTTTGATGTCAATCTTCGAAGTCTTGGCTGACGGTCATCGACAAAAGGATTCAACCCTTTGATTACGCTTATGTTTTATTTACAGGAGTAATATACATTATTTATTAAGTTTATTTTGAGCCGTGATCGTCCCAGACTCCCAGTGCAGGACAAAAGCCAATACCCTCTTTCCACTCCTCTTTGTGAAAAGTCATATACATTATATTTTTTCCTGCTTTTCCTCTGTTATGTAATGATATGATTACCACGTAATAGAATGAATATCAGATGGCTTTCAGTCGCCTCTATCAAAGTTGGACTAACCAGCATATTATAGAAGGTTCAGCACTTTCATCCAATATTAGGTAACTGTAAAACATAGTAACAATGGTCCAGGTGATAAAATGACCCATTCTCTGGTTTAGTAGTAAGTGCCCAGTTACGTGGTGTGATGTAACTGCTAGGGACTACAATGTAAAGCTCTTTGAAGATATACAGGTATTATGTTTGTTGTTGGTGTCGATGCTTTTAGAGCTTCGTTAAAGTTGGTATTATTCTGAAATTATGTTTTCTTATGGGATAAACCGATAAACGAGCTGACGGATCATCTGATGATAAGCGCCCATGGACACCTGAAATGTCAGAGGCGTTACAAGTGCGTTACCGGCCTTTTGGGGATTGGGAATTAGAGGATTGCGAAGCATGGCTCTCCTACACTTAAATAAACTTTATGTGAACATAAATCTTAAATTTTAAAAAGTAGTAGATCGAAGTGTTCAATTAATAAAGAGCAATTTTACTTGCCACTGCGTCACTGGGCACCATTCGAAACTTTGTGTTACAAGTAGTGAAAGTACATTAAGTCGATATTTACGGGATGAAAAATAAGCAGACGAATCACTTGGTAGTACTCAGTCAGTGCCACCCATAGACCTGTAACTCCAGGGGAGAACCAAGTGTGTTGCCGGCCTTTATAAATAAAATTTAGGTTGTCGGTGATTGAACTCTGTATAGACTGTCTGCCTCATCGGCCGCGTGGTCGTAAGTGCGACTGCCGGGCAAGAGGTCTCGGGTTCGATTTCCAGATCGAGCAAAGTATTACTGGGTTTTTAAATATTCTCAGTAGTAGCACGGAGTCTGGAATTGCGCCCGGTATATGGCAATAGGCTCACCCCCTATTACATGGGACTCATAACATAAATAGTAAAAAGTGGGTGTTACATTGCACAGTGGTATAATGTGCACCTCTGCCTACCCCTTTGGGGATAAAAGACGTGGTGTTATGTTATGTGAACTCTATAAATTACGTGTAGAGATAGAAAAATATAATTAGTAAAATCAATTGGTCAATTGTTTAATGTTGAGAATTCCATAAATCAATATACACAATGTAGCCACGAGAAATAAGTTTAATTATTATTAAAAAGGTGCACGATAACAATAAGCTAATATTTATAAATTTATGTACAATATACAATATGTACTGTTTTTAGCATTATTATGAAGTAACATTCCCAAACAATGTATTACTTATCTATTTTCGTGACACGAGTTAATAAATTAACATTCTGTATCTACATACATACAGTCGGAAGAGAATAAAATAATATAATTTTATATTAAGGTACAGTACTATATAATCAATTTATAAAATATGACTAGGTATGAAATTGTGCTGCATTGTCATTGACTGGAAGACGTTCACTGTCGAATGAAACCGCATACCATCCATTTTGCCCTAAAAAACAGCTATTAATGATAGGATACTTTTCTAACACATTCAGTATAGCATAATAAGATAAATAGAAATACAACATGGTTACTATGTAAGGCAAAACGAGGCGAAAGTTATATTAGCTGAATTTGAACAATGTTGCAGAGAATAGCAGAATTATACAAACCTCTATTTTATGAATAACTTCCCTCAAATTATTATTAACTTGACAAATCCCACTATTATACCCACTTTACATTAAAAAATTGTGCTATCTAACGATGAAAACCGAATGATAATTAGTTTAGTAATTTTTCAGTTGATTTCATAATACGGTTGACAATATCCAATCGATAAGACGGCAAGCAGTGCCGGATTAAGCCAGCGCGGGGCCTGTAGCAAATTCTGTCTAGGGGCCCTTGGTTTGCTATCGGTTCTCATTTGGGCATTGACTAAATTTGGTGCCTTTCTTTTTTCTAGCGTCAGTCGATGATTTATGGAAGATATTGTCTGGAATGATATCACAAACGAAATTGTCCCCATATATGAAAGTGAGCCCATAGGGCTCATGTATGGAAATCTCAGTCTGGACTGAGTTATGAGCGTTGAAAGGAGCTGAAGTCAAACATTTTACTTTGGTTTTTTTTATTTAAATCTTATATCTTATACCATTATCTTATATACTATTATAGAGGTATAAAGCGGAAGAGTTTGTTTGTTTGTTTGTTTTTTTGAATAACTAATCTAATCTCCGTAACTACAAGTCTGATTTGAATAATTCTTTTTGTGTTGGATAGTGCATTTATCGAGAATGGCTATACGCTATAAAACATCACGCTACGACCAATAGGAGCCGAGCAGAGCG